TCACTCACGATTTACCTCGCTGTCGTGCTCCTGTTTTCCGTCGTGTTTGAAAGTGAATTCTGCAGTGCCGCCTGCTGACTTCTCTGTGTCCCTGTGAGGCAGGGGTTGGGGACGGTGCCGCTCTGGCCTGTTAGGAGCTGGGCCGCCTGGCAGGAGGGGAGCGAGCGAAGTCTCGTCTGCATTCGCAGCCACTGTCTGCGCCGGCATCGCCGCCTCGGCTCCGCCTCGGATCATCCGGCCCCGGATTCTCACAGGAGCAGCGGTCCCTGGTGCCACAGCGGTTGGGGACCGCTGGGAGAGCTCCCGGGTGTACACGAGGTGACACGAGCGCCTGGTGTCCCGGGCGCGCTGTGCGGAGAAGGTCACGTGGCTCTGCGGGCAGGTGGTGCTCTGGAAGGGGTGGAAACGAGGTGGCGGCTCCTGCTGGGCGCTGCTGGGGAGGCTCGGTGCGGGGCACGGCCCTGGAGCGGGCTGCGGGAGGCGCCAGTTTCCTCTGGAAAGTCTCCTTCCCGCTGCTGAGCCTCGTCACTGCCAGCGTGGTCAGTGTTGCGGTGGCTCCGTCGTTGCTGTCGCCTTTGGTAGTGGGACGTCCTCCTCCAGAGGAGCTGAGGGGAAGGCACAGAGGGTCCCAAGCACCCTCTGCCGACGTGCAGCCTCCCCACTGTCCACATCCCACCGGCGACGGAACTCGCACTGACAGTCGTTGTTAGCCCCGGTCATCGTCTGCGTCAGGGTCACTCCTGGTTTGGACCGAATGTATGATGACGTCCGTCCTCATGGCATCACGCAGACGTTAGCTTCACTGCCCTAAACTCTGTGCTCGCTCGTTTCTGAAAAGTGTCTCAGCATACAGTGTCAAGGAAGGCACTGGGGGTCCTTGGCCGGCGGGGTCAGGTTGGGGCGGCATAGTGGGGAGTCTGCCGGGGGAGAGGCCAGGGTTGGATGGGGCCCTGGGGCTCTGAGGGCCGTCTCTGCCAGGGATGCCTGAGCGTGCTTTGCCGTAGCAACACATTCCCCAAACTAACAAGGTTGTGCTCGACCGTGAGGCAGGTCTCAGCCTCCGTTCAGCCCCGGGGGCCATCTTACAGCTGCCCTTTGACCCTTGGTTTTATCATTTACCTGGTGGTTAAAGAAAACTTATTTTTGAACGTTTAATTGTGAAAGTGTGTTTGCGGTGAAGTCGTCAGCGATTCAGAGCTGCGGTCCCCCCTCCCCGCCCTATGCCCAGGGTCCACCCCCCGTGGTGCTGCCATCCCTCCTCCTCCTCTTCCTCGGGTGCTCTCTCCCCATCACACCCGTTAGGAACCAGCGGCTGGGTCTGTTCTGTCAGCTTCGAAGCCCTCAGTAGGGCATCGGCCATGCTAGGGACAAATCACATGGCAGCATCTTGTTTTTCTTTAGGTCTCAGAAACACTTAGAGTCAGAGCCAGATTGCCCTTGCTGGTGTCCAGACAAACACGCGGTGGAGGACCGCTCAGTCCTCAGGCTGTCCGTGCGGGGGAGGCCAGGGCCACCCACAGGCATAGCTGAGACACAGCCTCACTCCGGAGCCGCGCTGGCGGGAGGGCCCTCCGCCCCGCGCCCACCCATGGTGCCCGCTGCCCAGTTCCTGAAGCCTCTTCCTCTCCTCGGTCCCCACATGCATCTCTTCTCACGGGATGACAATAGCTGCTCCCCGGCCTGGTGGCACCAGCAGAGGTCCCGGGCTCAGCCCCGCAGTCCTGCGCAGCGGCTCACTGCTCTTGCCGTGCTCGTGAAGCGCCATCCTGTCGTTCCGGCAAGCGAGCCGACGGCGGAGTGAGACGGACACAGCTTGTCTCCGGCACGGGGAGGGCGACACGTCCTTTCACTCCGCAGCGTGACATGGCTTCAGCTCCACCGAGGTCACCCCGGCTCTGTACTGGCTTCGGGGAGAAATGTGTATTTACGGTCTGTGGTTGACTTGGTGGGATCTCGGTGACCAAGGCTGTGGAACAGCATCCAGGGTGACACTCGTGTCCTCTGTCAGCACAGCTCCCGGCGTTAGCACAGTGTCCCACCCTCACGAGAGCGTGCCGCCCCATTCGTCAGGGAGCCGCAGAGCCGCGTCCTCCCCCCGTGTGTGCAGGACACTTCTTCAGACGGTCGGGTGGCTGCCGGGAGATGGCTGCATGCGGGGCTGGGGCCCCCAGGCCCGATGGCTAAATGCAGGGTGAGCCCGATGGGCATCAGTGGTTCACATTAGCCCAGCACCCTGAGCTTTGAAGTGCCCTCCTGAGCGGCACGTGGTGCTGCTGCCCTCCAGGCCCTGCCATCCTCAAGGGCCCACAGAGACCCCTCACGAGGCCTCGGAGAACCTGCCAGGGGAGGGAAGGGGCTGTGGGCCAGGGATGCCAGCCCAGAGGTCGGCCAGCCCAGGCCTCCCCTGTGCTGGAGGGGCCCGGGAGGGTGGGCAGCCACTGGACAGACCCCCGCAGGCCTTTGTGTGACATCCAGTGCGGCTGCTGCCTCCGTCCTGGGCAGAACCAGGGCTGTCCTGTGCTCCGAGCGGGCCCCACGGCAGAGCTAGGCAGCGTCCCTTGGCCAACGTTGCCATTTGTTGACACTTGGCTTGCGCACTGAGGGCAGAAGACGGTGGGGTGTTTGGCAGCACCCTCACCTCTGTCACCCGTGGGCTGGAAACGAAACCTCGGTTTTACCAAGTGTTGACAGGCTTGGCTTCTGTAACAGGAACTCTCCCAAGAGGGACCCTAGTTTTAATTGCTTCCAGTATAAACCCGTCCAGAGTGACAAGTCTGGCAGGCCTGAGCCCAGTGCCCCCTAGATACGGTGAGGCAATGTTCTTAGCTGGCTCTGGGCACGGCATGGCCATCCTTGGCTGGGGACAGTTTGAGTACGGCCCTGCCGTGGGGCGAGGGTGTGAAGGCCAGCACTCTGCATCCTGTCTTTTGGGACCACTGAGCCCTAAAGCAGGAGCCTCTTGTGCAGGTTCTGTGGAGTGGGCAGTCGGCCACAGGCCTCCCCACTAGACGTCCCAGTGGGACGGTCACACATGGTTCAGGAAGGCCGCGGGCCCAGCAGTGGGCGCAGAGGGCACCCCAGAAGGTTGCAGATCGCCCAGTGCAGCTGTTTCCTGCACAGCGGTGACGTGAACGGAGCTGGCCACGTGCACGGGAACCTGCCACTCAGGACAGTGTGTGGGATTTGCCGGCACATTCTCAGCTGGGAGAGCCCCCTGCGCGGGGTGGTTGGCAGGACACTCGTCTGCTGGCCAGCGAGACCCCGGCAACCGTCCTCGGCTTGGAGCCACTGCCCGCCCACTCGTTTGACCAAACGGCCAAACCCTTGTTTCAGGATGACCAGGCATCTGTTTTTCTCGCTGCCTCGTTGCCCTGAACTTCATGTTTGTAGCAGTTAAAAAGCACTGTTAGTATCAGAACTTAGCATGGCTGTCCGTGACAGAGCTGGAGTCCGACGCGGCCCGGCAGTCATTAGTTTATCGCTGTGTGATGAGGCTTTTGAACCTGGGCTTTAGTCCGTTCTAGGATGGCCATCAGGTGATCAGGCTGTATGTGTGCGCGGGTAGGGCCTGGTTCCAAGCCAAGGTGGGGGCAGCAGGGCAGCCTCAGCGGTAGCATCAAAAGGGGACTTTGGACAAGAGGAAATGGTCCGGCCTGTCCAGAACCCAGAGTCGTGGAATTCGGCAGCTGGTGTCAGCGTTCACACCCAGGATCGAGCTGATTGTCAGCTTCTCGAACAAATCCAGGTGTCCCCACAGATGCCTTTGACAGTGTAAAGAGCTGTGCAGGGACGGGATGTCCTAAGTAGCTGTGCTCCTGCCTTCACAGGCGAGGTATTGGGCACAGAGCCCAAGCCACATCCCTGGCGTCACCCAGCCTGCGGAGCTGGCAAGGCAGGCCCACCGCGGCGGGTTCCGTCGGCATGTGGCCCTGCACCAGGTGACACACCCACACGGCGGAGGCCTTGGAGACTGGCGAGGGCACCAGGCAGAGTGCTCGCCGCCATCCAGAACTGGCGCCTTCCACGAACAGTCTGACGTGAGCTCACGGCCAGGAGCTTGGTGCTGAGGCTCTTGTGATGTGGCGACAATAAACAGGCAAAGTCCACGTGCCTCACCGAATTTCTCATAGCTACATTCCTGCCGAGGTCAGCATCTCTCTTACCTGGGGTGGAGGCTCTGGACTCTAGGCGCTCCGGGTTCATAAAACCGGTGCCCCCTACACTGCACTGGAGACCCCACCCAATACCCGGCCTGGCATTGCATCTGACATCACACGTAGCACCACCACACCTGATGCCACACCTGACACCCCAGCTAGCACCACCACACCTAACAGCACACCTAACACCCCACCTGACACCCCAGCCAGCACAAACACACTCAACACCACACCTGACACCCCAGCCATCACCACCACACCTGATACCTCAGCCAGCAACACACCTGACAGCACACCTGACACCCCAGCCAGCACCACCACACCTGACACCCTAGCCAGCACTGCACCTGACATTGTATCTGACACCGCACCTTTTGGTCTGTTTGCCTGTGAAGGAGGCTGAACCTGTGGATTTGACTCAGCAGGTGTGTTAAGCACATCCTATGCACTGGACTAGCTCCCTAAGGAATTTACAGGGGACCAGGGACCTGTTTATAGTCTGCAGAGAGCTTCCTGTCCTTTGAGAGAGGGGACTGGTGACTGCAGGGAAGTCTGTTGTGGTCCTTAGCGGTCTGGGAGACTTGGGGGGCGCAGAGGACGATGGCTTGTGCCACCAGCTTGAGCTCTGTGGTTAACTGCGCAGTCACCTGCAGTTAGGTCAGGGTTCTGGTTTCACATCGACCAGGACGTTCGCTTACTCCTGCCTGAAACCTGCCGTGTTGTGTTTTGGTTTGTCATTTAGGCAACAAGGTGATGGCGTTAAAGCCATTCGTGGGCAGCAGTCACAGGCTCACGCTTCTGCTGCCCAGCTGTCACTGTCCTGCCCTCCCCACTCCCTGCCCCTAGCCAGGCTCGGGCCTGCCCCCAGCGCAGCAGCCACTTCCTCAGAAGGAACGCCGTGACATCGCTCACTGCCAGGCCGCCGAGACCTGGTCCCAGCCTCTTTGCTCGTCCTGTCTGCCAGCTGACCTGTGCTCCCTCCGTGGGGCCACGCCACGCGGCTGTCCTCAGCTCCGAGGACGGGCCCTCCCTTCATTGCTTGGGGCTGGCGCCTGCTTTGAAGTCGCGTTCCCTCGTCCGCCTGCTGTTCCCGGAGTGAGGGAGCCCATCGTGGACCTTTCCTGTCCCCAGACGTCAGGGCTCGCCGCACACAGGTGGCCTCGGTGCTGTTTGGTGTTTGTTCGAGTAATGGTGTCACTTTTCCATGCAGTGTGTCCTGCACTCGTCCGGGAGACTGCTCTCAGATGCCAGGAGCGTCGCGGGGCTGCGGCCCTGCCGGTGGAGGCGCTGGCCCACTGGGGCACGCGCCTCTCCTCGTCCATCTCTGCTCGGCCAAGAACTGGTGTCTGCGTCCGGCCATCAGTCCGGCCGAGGCCACGCAGGCAGCAGGTCGATGCAGAGGTTAGAGGCTGTGACGACGGTGCTGCGGTGTGTTGTCTGTCAGCGTGGCCGGTGAGCAGTGCCTGTGCCTCGTGTCACGCTTTAAGGAGGAACTCCAGCAGCCAGGCCCGGTGTGACGCAAAAGGCACCTGCCCCGCACGGAAGCCTAGGTCTGACCCTGGTTCTGCCCACTGAAGGTGCACTGCATGGCTTTTGCCAAGTGTACGCCGTCCAGAACTTTCTGCACCCAGATGTGAAAGCCCTTCAGGTCATGGGGGAGGGGAGCTTGCTGTTGTTGGGGTGGGTGCCTCATCTGAGGGCCGGGCGGGACGGGGCACTCCTGAGTGCAGGTGCCCGCATGGTTGCCTAGGACAAGCGAGGGAGAGCAGGTGGTGGTGCGTGCAGCGGGGTGAGTCATAGGAAAGGCGGGGCCTGCGTTGCTGGCACAGGGGCTCCCAGCGGTGCCCAGCTCTCAGCAGTACCCGTATGCACCGGTTTTTTCCGGCTGCCTCCGGCTCCCGCAGGTCTCGCTAGCACTGCCCTGTGCAGTTGTCCTCAGCCAGTTACAGATCACCTGGCATTTCCTCCTGGGCACTGCACCCAGGTCAGGGAGAGGAGGCTGAATAGCAATTGCTCCTCCCAGGGCTGGACTGGAAGGGCCTGCGCCCTCAGCCTCCGCCCTGGGAATTCCTGGCGTGTCACTTCCCCCTGGCTTTGGCATGAGGGCCCCCACCAGGTGGCGCTGTGTGCATATCCTCCTGCCCATGGTTCCTGGGAGGTGAGGGTCACACGCGTCCTGCCCAGCCTTGGGAGGAGAACCACCCCCGCCCCTGCTGCCACCCTGCTGCCCTTGTCACACAGAGCTTGCTTTTCTGGAGAGAGCACAGCTTGTGGTTTTCCTTTGCCTTTTGGCTCTGGACCCATGAGCATCTGGTGCCATCAGGATGAGGAGCCAGCATTTGGCCAGGGACCCTCGGTCCAAGCTTTCACTGTTGGGCAGCTGCCACTGCATCCCTGGACGCGTCTGCAGTGTTCCGTGAGGTGGGCACAGACCGTCTGGTGCACAGCTTGGAGCGGGTCAGGTCGCGTGTGCCACCTCCAGCAGCTACTTGGTTTTAGGGTCATGCCCTGCCCCCACCCCCCAGGGCACGTGTCCAGAGCAGGACTGGGTGTGGACACAGGTGAGGGTGGGGATGCCAGCACTGGAGCAGATTTGGGGTAAAGAAGAAAGTTGATTAGGTTTACGTGGCAGAAGCAGCTCGCTCTTGGTCTCTGCTGTGCCAGGCTGGCTCCTGCCCCACTGGCTACCATGTTGGAGGGGGGGCCCCTTGTAGGCCTGGGGGACCCTCCCAGCCGCTCCCAGGATATAAGGCACTCCCACTTGGGCCTGCTGTAAGAGCTCCCAAAGTCAGGAATGTCGGGGTATCTGGTGTGCCCTTGTAATGAATCAGGCGGGGTCCTCACCTTGCCCTAGGGAGTGGACACTGAGCTGCCTCCCCTTTCCCTCGTGAGAGCCCGTCAGTTCCTCATTTTTTTTTTTAGGTGAGGCGACCCTTGGTTGACCTCACAGATTGCAAGGACCTTGTCAGCTTACAACCTCTTATTTTTTAAATTTTTTACGCCTACAGCGCCTGGTCGTCCTAGGTGGTCTCCCAGCCAAGTACTAACCAGGCCCGACCCTGCTTAGCTTCCGAGATCAGATGGGATCGGGCTTGTTCAGGGTGGTGTGGCCGTAGACCCGTCAGTTTCTCTTTCCAGTGGACGTAGCAGGGCTTGGTGAGTGTCGGGAGCCACCTCCATGGGGGAAGTTTGGGAGAATGGCCGTAGAGTGCCCAGTCCCTTGAGGGTTGCCTGGCCTCAGGGTACATGGGACAATGGACTTTGTAGTCAGCATTGTGGCTGGCGCCAGACGGGCATCCAAGCCTCTTTCCTCCTATCAGCTGACACACTGACCATCAACCAGGCAGGTAAAAACAGGAAGACCTTGAATCATGGGATTTGTTAAAACATTAAAAATGGGTGTTAAAATGTAATTCACGTAAAAAGTATACACCCATCTCTGGTTTTTGCACGTTCACCGTGTCGCGCAGTCATGGTAGCTTCTTTTAACTTCGTGAGGATAGGAGGAGTGTATTCATAACTGTGGAATGACTCAGACATTCTGCAGAGCTCCCCGAAAAACACTTTTAGCGAGAGGCCAGACTGCCCTGTGTGAGGCGGGCGTTCCAGGTCACAGCAGGTTTTCTGGTTTCTGACCGGCGGTCGCGGTCCTCGGGAGCCGTCCAAAGCAGGTCCGTCTGTGCCCTGGACGGCGCTGGGAAGAGCCTGCCACAGAAGCCAAGGGACCGGAACCCCACGTTGCCGCCCCGATCCGTTCGATCCCCACCCAACCACAGGCAGGCGCGCCCGGACAGCATCTTGGCGGCACTGACCAGGAAGATGAACTCAGACTTGGTGCCGTTTCTCTCCTGGCGCTTCCAGAAGTTCATCGACGGGAGACTGTGAGGAACAGGAAACGGGAGGCCGTATCTTCGTGTTCACAGCCTCTGTGCCGTCGAGTGGTTTGGGTCTTGTCCTGCACCGGACTTCTATCAAGTCTTAGTTCCTCTGATCCCTGCAGTATTTTTTAAATACTCATCACATCTTTGTGTGGCACGCATGAGCTATTACAGGTCACGGTGTCTATGCGGGTTAGACATCGAATCATTCAAACACGAAATAGCCAAAAATAGCAAAAGGGGTAACTGGGTTCGTCCACGTGAGCACAGAGGTGGCTGACACAGGTGGTTACGTGCTCACAGTCACCCGCTTGCGGTCCTGCTGCCACAGACTGCGTGCTGGCACCTGCGCCGCGGACCTGCGAGGGTGCAGTGTGGCTCTCGCTTGGGGCCTGGAGCGCGAGGGGCTCGCCAGGACGCCGGAGCCCAGACTGGGAGCGGCCGCCCCGCAGTACAGTACGGGCGACACGACTTCCTGGGGGGGCTGAGCCCGGGCGGCCTCCTGTGCAGAGGCCTGGTTCTGTGTCCAGGGATGAGCACAGGGGCCGGGCGACCCATGCGAGCCCTGGGGTCCGAGAGCCCCCTTGGGCTGTTCGTTGCAGTTCAAAGTCCAGGCACTGCAGCCCCTCAAAAGGGTCGAGGGAGATGGGCATCGCCTCCTGCTGTGGGCTTTTGGTGGGAGGGCAGCCGTAGGGCGTCGTGTCCCAGGGTGCGGGAGGTGGGGCCGGCCGCCGGGAGACCCGGCCACCCTCGGGGATAGAAGCGGCTGCCCGGGGAGGACATCGCCCAAGCAGCCACCAGCCCACGGACAGGCGTCACCAGGACTCGACCGGCCTGCCAGAACTGTTCTTTTTCTGGCAGAAAGTGGGCGCTGGGTCCCGGGTGAGCAGTGGAGTGACATGTGTGTTCCTTCTGTTCTCCAGTCATGGGACATTTTTTTCCGAAACACCAATGCCGGGGCACCGCCGGGCACCGCCTACCAGAGCCCGCTGCCCTTGAGCCCAGGCGCCCTGTCTGTCGCAGCACGTGCACAGCCCCTGGTGGGTGCCCAGCCCCACGTGGACAAGCTGGTGGAGGACCACTTGGCAGTGCAGTCGCTCATCAGGGCCTACCAGGTAAGGCAGGTGGCCAGCCTCCCGCCAGCGTGTCGTTAGTGACCACCACCTGCGGCATGGGGCGGTCTCCCTGCCCTGCGGCCTGGGGTCCAGACTGAAGCGTGACAGGAGAGGAGCCAGGATAGTCGCCCTCCGAGCAAGCCCTCTGCCTCCTTGAGCTCCTGCCCTGAGCCAGACCCCAGTCTCTGTCCCTCGGCTGTCAAGGAAGGTCTGCGGGCAGCGCCAAGTCCCCGCGGGGTTCCCGCGGGAGCCGTGCAGGAGGAGGGTGCTCTCTGGGAGCCGGGTCCCCTCAGCTGCCAGCGCCCGTGTCTAGGGGAAGCGAGCCTACAGAGGCGGGCGGGGCTGGCAGCTCTGGAGCATCCCAGCCTACAGCCAGCCCAGGTGTGTGTCCCAGGGGGTCGCTCAGCACAGTCCGGAGCCCAGACCTTAGTGTCTGGCCTGCGAATGGTTCCGAGGATGAGGGACCCTCAGCCGGACCGCGTCCTGGCCGCCGCGCGTCCTGGAGCCATGCTGTGGCCAGGCATGGGCCGCCTCTGCCCTCGTACAGCCACCACGGCGTCGGGACAGGCAGCCAGCGAGGCCTCCCAGGCAGTGACGTCACGGCCGTGCAGGAAGCCATGTGGGCAGCACACCTCACCCTGAGGGGTGCTCACGGTGGCCGCCGCACTCAGCCTGTGACCCTGCTGCTCTCGCACCCTCTCACGGTGCCAGCGGCAGGTCCAGGGGGCATCCAGGGCTCAGGGGACAGACTTCAGGGGCTTCCTCTCGTCTTTGTGTTTTAAACGGTGCGGGCCGGACGCTAAAGTCCTTGTCGCAGCTGCCCGTTGTCTGCCACTGTGCCCTGACCCCTCA